AAATCAACCGAGCGTGACCGAAGAGAAAACAGATGATGGTTCCAACGCCGGAGAGATTGTCGAACGGAAGAGCCATAGAAGTTCCGTAGTGTGAAGGTATTTCGGCTATTTCAAGTCTGACAAAAAACAGAGTAGCGTGCACTGTAAATTGTGCCGAAAGCAAGTCTGGAAATACAATGAACTGGTGCATGCGTCACACTGTGCGCCACGTTATTGTTTCGGTGAAATGAATTTCTACAATACTGTTAATTCTACTCTCTGCAGTGTTTAAATGCTTACATATACACACAGTTAGTCCCTCCACACATACGACTCGGTTCTGCTTCTATGCCCCAGCTTTGTTTACTTTTTCCCACCGAGGCTTCTAGACTTCTGATTGGCCAACATTTCTGCACGGTTAGGAATCTAGCGCCACCTGCTGCTTTGGCATCTTCATAGCAGCGTTTTCCTTCATTTCTGCCTTTATGTGTGGACGGGATTATTTTTTAAAACGAAAACGGAAAATCTTCGTTTTCAAAAATACCCGTGTACGTGTGGATGTAGCCTCAGTCTCTGACTGAAAGCGCTAATTCATCATTCGGCTTTTGTCAGACTAAAGTAACTGTTAAAACTGTTTGAAAAGCTCAGCTATACAACAAGGAGAGATTGAGAATTTCCTTTTAGTTCTCAGTTTATTTGATATTGACAAAAGTTAGTCAGTTTTGTCTGTTCTTCTGTAAAACAAACTAAGATTTATTTTTAGAATTAATACTTTGTTTCTAAGTGGAATTGACAATTTAGTCTGTTTCGTTTGTTCTATTTTGAAACTTAAACGCTTTAGCGGCTGCCTTTTGTGTAGTTTGCAATATTTGCCTTTATTTATCTGAAAAAGTCTCATGTTCCTTAAGTACATCTACCCTGTTGAACTTATTATGGGAAATAAATATTTAAATAAAAACAAGCTGCTGATTATTTCACATTTTACTTGTGAGCAACGGCACATTTAAATCTTACAAATATAGTTATTTGGCTTATATCGTGATAGATATCGTTATCGCCTGAAATGAAAAAAACATATCGTGATATGAAAAAATCTCATATCGCCCAGCTCTACTAGTAACTATAATTAATTACTTTTTCAAAGTAACTTGCCCAACACTGGCTTTGAGACCCTCTGTGAACTGAACAAACGCTCAGCAGGTGGAGACTGGAGGGTCAAACTTGAGTTCAAAACAGGCTTTCTTTACATTGGTTGGCTCAACAAAACCTTAAACAGAGATGATGACTGTCATGATGGTGGTAGTCGACCAGGTTATGTGTTCAGCATCAGTTACCACGGTGATTTAGCCAGGAGAAAACGAGCCTCTTTCACGATGGAGAAAACGCTTAACTTTGATTGTTGGTGGTTTTCTGTTTTATTTGTATTATTTTGGGTCTTTAACTTACAATAGAAAGTGTCTTGAGGCCCCTGTTGTTCAATTGAATTGAACTTGAGTTTTATCTTTGCAGTAGAGCTCTTGGGTTCATGTGCCGCTATGCTCTGAGGCTGCGGAGCTGTCAGGAGAGGCAGCTGATTACCGCTCTGACAAAGTGTCTATAGTGTTATATAAAAAAATCTTGGCTCAGTCGTTTGCAGTGGCCTTTATGACAACATCCCCATTTCCTTATCAGGTGAATCGAAGTACCTCTGCACCACGTGTGGAGCCACCTTCCACCGAGCCTCCGCTCTCAGCAAACACCTGAAGAAGCACCAACCCAAACCCGACGTCCGGCCGTTCGCCTGTGAACAGTGAGTAACTCTTCATCAACACCGTCCTCTTTGCTTCAGAGCCCGAGCTGCGGTCTTAGTCTGCTTCCTCTCTTCCACAGTTGTGATAAGAGGTTCTACGAAGCCAAAGATCTGCAGCAGCACATGAACAAGCACATGGGCCTGAAGCCTTTCCAGTGCCAGGTGTGCGGGAAATGTTACAGCTGGAAGAAGGACTGGTACTCGCACGTCAAGTCCCACAGCGTCGCCGAGCCTTATAAGTAAGTGTGACAGGGGTGATGTGCACCAGTCACATCCCAGAAATCAGAAGTAGAATAGCTTCAGGGAATTTACTCCTACAACACAACAGGAGCGCCCTGAGACACCTATCACCATGCAACTTCAGACCTCTGAGACGAACTTGATACGTAATGGTGGCCCCTCCCCAAAACTTCTCCAAACAGCCACATTTTTTGCTTTCACTCCTGCTGTGACACTGAAAAACAAAATGAAGCTTTCTGCTGATTATAAAACATTTTTACCATCCTTCAGAACTTCATGTTCTGCTTTTCTTGGTGCCGATTATCAATGATTTCATACCAGCTGAAATAAAACCAAACTCGCTGCCATGGAAACATGTAAAGGAAAGTAAGCGGTACCGTTATTTCACTTAAACTCCTTCACGGTTAATGAGTGATGTAAATTGGGAGGTGGGGACAGTTACAAATGCTATGGTTGTTGCAACAACACGATTGGCTGGCTTTGATCTCCGTTCGGTTTTTGCATCGTGCGCTTTGCAGTGACGCCCTTTGTTTGTGTCGTCAGATGTAACGTCTGTGGAAAGGAGTTCTTCGAGAAGGCTCTGTTCAGGAGGCACGTGAAGAAAGCCACGCACGGGAAGAAGGGCCGAGTGAAGCAGAATTTGGAGAGAGAGTGCGAGCACTGTGGCAGGAAGTTCACGCAGCTCCGGGAGTACCGACGCCACATCAACAACCACCAGGGTAAGTCCGTCATGCAGCTTTTCTCATGTAGAAGATGCTTTTTATCGCTAAAGTACGAACGTATAACAACGTAACCTAAAATGAGACCTCCCGTCACTCTTGTTGACTCTGCTGTCCTGTGAGGGCGGCGAATTAGTTTTCTGTGCTATAAATGCGATCATTAACACCCCTTCATCTTTTTTTTTTTCTCTTGAAGGAGTGAAGCCTTTCGAATGTCTGACTTGCGGTGTCGCCTGGGCTGATGCACGCTCTCTCAAGCGCCATGTCCGCACTCACACAGGAGAGCGTCCATACGTGTGCCCCATGTGCCAGGAGGCCCACATCGACGCACGCACTCTACGCAAGCACATGGCCAAGTACCACGTGGACAGCCTGCCTGGGAAGATCATGCTGGAGAAGGACACCCTCCAGTTTCACAACCAGGGCACACAGGTGGAGCACGCAGTCAGCATCCTGGCGTCCGACCTGCCCCCCGAGCTACGGCCTGCGCAGCAGCCGTCCTCGGAGGAGATCGAGACGGTGCTGATCACGGAGGAGACGGTGGAGGCCATGGAGGCCGTCCAGGCTGTGCAGGCGGTGAGCGACGGCTCGGTGGCGACGCTCTCGGATCAGGGCATCATGCAGGTCGTGAACTACGTCTTGGCCCAGCAGGCGCTGACGGGGGGGAAGCTCGAGGAAAACCCTGAGGTGATTCAGACGATGGAGGTGGAGGTGGCTCACGTCGCCGAGGTAGAATAGCTGTGGGCTGGAGGACGGGGACTCCCCACATAGACTGATCACGTTGCTTCAGTCTATATAAAATGTAAAAAACAACATTCAGATCCTATTTTTCTGAACTTGTAAATAGTGTAATGATCTCAGACTCGAGGTTTTCACTGTGTGCATTGTCTGTAAATAGCTAAACAAACAGTAAGTGTCGTCGCTCAGGAGGAATGCAGGCAGAATTAAAGCTTTGGCTCAAACGTTTTCCTCTGGTCTGTTTTTGTTGTTGTTTGTTTTGTTTTTTTAGCTAATACCAAGATGATGATGACAGCTCAAGCCTTTGTCCTTGTGTTCTGTATAGTTTGTGGTTCTGTCACTGCACCGGCGTCCTGCAGGTCATCAAAAAGACATAAATGTCTTCTGTAGATTTGCAGATGGTGTTTTTATGTGTAAAAGGTACAGTAGATGATTTTTTTTGTTGAATTTGATTTTTCACATACTTCTCAGTGTCACAGTAGCACCACTAAAAAGGCACAGCTTGACCAAGTCTCCTCATCTCAGTAAAACATTGAGGAGCTGTTTGGAAGCAGCTTGTAATTTATTGGTTTGCCTGATATTGTTTGATTACTTGTGTGGAAGGTAAAGCTCTTGTTGAAACTTGTTTGTGAGTCCTGTCATCCTGGGAGCCTTTTCTGTTTTTCTTTGTCTCTTGCCAAAGAGCTGGCCTCCTACTTTTTGTCAGGTAGCTTATAAAGTTACTGCAGGTTTTTTTCAAAACCAAACATTTCAGCTACAAACAAAGGCAATTGCAGCTTTTCCTGTTTTTGGGTGTGCAGTGAAGGCATCGTGTTCCCAGTAATTTCGTTCCCAGCTGTTGACAGCTGTTTTCTTTTTCTTTGTAGACCAACACAGAAGGTGGTTCTTCTGAGAATTGGACTCTGTAGCAGGAGTTAGTTACCCTTTGTTAGGTAACTGTAGTTCTTTCCAATTTAAAAAAAAAAATGTACACAATCAGATCTCTGGAAAATGTCCTCACCATTCCTGGAAGATCCCTCAGACCTCCACATGCAGATAACAAAGAGTCTATTTAATTTTTTTTAAGAGCGTCTCAGTAACGTGTAGATTCGTGGTAAACAGAAAGCTCGCCATCTCGCAGTTCCAAGGCTTTTTGTTTTGCTTCTGTGTTTTGACTTGGTTATTTCTCATTAATGACATGGTGCAAAATGTCCTTAGTTCATCTTAGGTTGTATTTTTCTGGTAAGACAGGTAAGAGTCTCTTTCACTTCTTTGTGCAGATTCTTAGAAGCACTTTGTTGCTTTTTGCAAACAACTTTAAAGCTTCTTTTTTCTTTACACAGAAACCTTTTAGTTGTCGACTTCAGAGGCTCAACCTCCTCGCTGGTTTCAGTCCTGCTTTTGTGTTTGTCCTTTCTGCTCAAAGAATAAAAAGAACATGCAGCAGTGCTCCGACGCTTAAACAGCTTCGTGTGACTTCTTGAAATGACGTCAGCCACATAAGTTCGAGATATCTTTGAGTTTGTTCAACGCAGAAATAAACTGACACACAGGAGTGTTAACATGCAATACAGCAAGTATGGATATTTATTTCAGATTTATATCAAAATACCCTCGATATAATGAGACATATTTACAATACATTGTACAAAAATATGAAACTGCAGTCGGTTTCTGCTTCTAACAAATGCAGACTACTGGAGAGAAAGCTGGGCTAAATCCTGTGTCCACACAGACACACTGCATGTACTCCTGTGAACTGATTAATACATTGTTCTTAGTGATAAAGCTACCAAACAGTTTGGTTCATGAAGGAAATCATGCAGTTCCCTTAGAGCAAGTTAAAAAAACAGAACTATACAAATTTATATACATTTAACTCCAGTTTCCTCTACCAAAAGATCAAAAAAATACTTTTGCTCTGCAATAAACGAGAATAAAACGACATCAGTCATAACTGTGAAACACTGGGTGGAGTGTTAGGCCTATATGTGGCTACATCAAATGAAATACCATCATTTAAACACGCACGCACTCAAACACTTCACAAACAGACCTTTCAAGGCGATGCGTTGGTCTCACAACACATGAAAAAACATTTTTTTAAAAAGCAAAATACGGAAGCTACAGCAGAAAAACAAATCGCCCATCAGCTGACGTAATACTTCTGAGAAGAAATGCTTGAAATGACTCCTGCCACGAGCGAAAACCAGTGTACTCGACTAAAAAAGGGTTACAAACTAAAATACACTTTTGCTACGGCCCATAGCAGAAACACAGCCCTAATAAAAGCCCTCTTACGCGGTTCCATTCACGCTTTGACTCAGGAATGAATCGTGAACACTTGAAACCTCAAAGCAATCTGGGAAGTCCTCAGCATTTCTTAAGTGCTCTCAAGAAATTACAACATAACAATAAAATGTAAAAGAAACAAAAACAAAAAAATGCACCTTTTGCTCAACACCTTTAAAATAACTTGGCGGGACAAAATGAAAGTAAGTGCGTCTGTGTGTTTGTTCTCAGCAGGCTTTGCACTAAACAGCAGGTTTTCAAATGAAATGTTCATCAGCAGGCGTGAAATGACAAGTGGGGACGCAGCGGCGGCGGTGGCTGCGTCTTACTCTCCCTCCTCCTTGATGCGCTGCTGTTTGTTGCGGCGCGAATCCAGGTCGAAGGAGAAGTCGGACCACTCGTCGCGGGGCGGGAAGGAGATGGTCTGGCGCAGGGTGAAGCGCACGGCGTCGATGACGCGCTCGCCCCGCGCCTCGGAGGAGCCCACGCTGACGGTGGAGGCGCTGCCGGTGGTGCGCACTATGTGGGGAGGAGGGGAAAAATCCATAGCCTGTCGGTGCTCCATGATGCCCTTCCAGATGATGTGCTGGAACTCGGCAGGGATCTTCAGCCTGGACAGGTCCTAATGGTCATTACACAGGGGAGCGTTAGTATTCGCAGGGGAGCCAATCTTCTCTCTAACCCATCAAATGACTCGTGTTGGATAGGGAAGGGCTCACCTCCATGTTATAGTTCTCAATCTGGTAGATGTTGGTTAGGCCCTGTGCTGTGAAGTAGTCCAAGCAGCCGGCGCAGCCCAACCGAATAAGGAAGCTGCAGGAGGAAGAGGAGGAGGAGCGTGTTAGAGTTTGACATTTTTAGAGGTTCTCACCAGAAATACGTACGGAATTACTCGGTATGTTTGGAATAAAGCTTAAAGGTCGCTCTGTTGATGCTCAGTGTAATTCTTTAAATAGTCCAGTGAGGTCACCTTTACAATCTGTACGGTTATGTTTAGTTTCTATTGTTTTCTATTCTGTTGCCGTAATTATGACTCGACTGTTCCCTTATTCTAATAAATCTACCGTTAAGTATTTGTAGGTAACTATAATGACACTGTCATTTCAAATAAATTCCATTTAACGAGAGGTGAAGCGTCACTGATCGTTCTCAGGTGTCGTGTTTGTTTCTGACAGTGGACTTTCCCGGTGCCCCCCTCTCACCACGCTGGCATTAAAACCAGAAAGTGGGAACGGACGTCACACGCAGCTCGAGGTTTAAACCCGCCTCTGCGAGCTGCTTCGTTCCTCCCGCCTCCTTCCAAAGAATTTTTTTTGTTGTGTTTGGGGTTTAATTTACTCGAGCGTACAAATAGTCCGAAATTACAGCAAAATGCACAGAATTGTGTCCAATCAGTGATCGTGTTGTCTGATCAGTGCAGCCATAAATCTACAGTTTTGTAGCGATGGCGAGGGAGTGTGACTGGCTGAAAAGTGAGGGGGCTGTGCTTGGTGAAACCACTGTCAGAAAAAAAAAAAAGAACTAAAAAATGAAAAAGTGTGAAAACAAAGCGGTCTTAGATGCGTTTGGTCACGTGATCAGCTCGCTGTGTGTTGTTGAGCCTCCGCACGCTTTGAAGACGAGCACAGAGTCTTCAGAAAGGACTAAAGGTGATGAGTGGATGTGTGGCGCTGTGGTTTGGTGAGGTACCTGGAGATGCTGCTGTCCATGGGGTATGGAGGAGGGGGGGTACAGTGGGAGGAGGGCACCAGGGGCAGCTGTGGCTGCAGGGCGTGTGTGGGGCTCAGTGAACTCATGTCGGCATTCATGGGGATGTGAGTGCCCATCATGGGAGTCACTGCAGAGACAAGAGGAGCTACTGTGAGCCTTTGGGGTGCGGGGGCGTGCAGAGGTCACTCTGTACTTGACTAATAATGCATCATAACAGGTGAGGAAGCTGCACTGGGGGAGGGGAAGTGAAGCGTTCAGGTCCCCTCCCGCCTGCCTCGACCCGCCATCTTTACAAAAAACCCGGAAACACGGGATTTAGGGGAGCGCGGGGCGTCTACGACCCGAGAGAGATGGGAGGAGAAAGAAGGTGGCGCACTTACTGTCAGTGAGGCCTCCAGACATGCTTGACGGAGTGAGCGTGTTACGCTGCTGGGGGTTGATGAGCTGGCTGACGGAGGGCAGCTTGTTGACCTTTCCGGGAGTGGGCGAGGTGGAGCCGAAGGAGGGCTGAGATGACATGGAGGTTCTGGGGTGGGAGAGAGGAGGAGGTGACGGTTACTGACAGCATTCAGCAGAAAACAACATGGAAACATTTTTATTCTAGTGATACAGAAAAAAAACAATCAGTGTCTTCCCTGCTACTGTCACCAGACCCTCGCCCCAGGAAGCCAAGGAGATGGAAATATTACAAATATTTTACGCATCTCTACTGCAACTTAGTTTTTTATCGTTTCACTACTTTCTCCCAGAATTTCTCCTTCGACCACACGGGATATAAAAGATGGACGTAGAATCTGTTCTAAAGCTCTCAAACCAGATGTAACAGGCGAAGGGGGCTGATCAGAGTAAAAACCAGATGGAAACTGCACACTGATTCACTAGCTGGCTATTAGCACTCTAATAATAAGTGCTGAATAATCCTCTGACTCTAATAACGATCATAATTTTCAGTGTGAGCTGAAAGTAGTGCCTGAGATCATCACGCCATCAAAAAGCTGAGGGATTTTTCCCAGCAGACTTAATCTCCTGCAGAGGAGTCGCCTCCTGCTGGACAGGTTTATGAAACTGCTACGCTGGCTTCACCGTTCTGATCCAGGAGCTACATCCATCTTTTACACCAGGGCTGGGGAACTCCAGGCCTCGAGGGCCGGTGTCCTGCAGGTTTTAGATCTCACTCTGGGTCAACACACCTGAATCAAATGATTAGTTCATTACCAGGCCTCTGGAAAACTTCAGGACATGTTGAGGTGGTAATTTAGGCATTTAAATCAGCTGCGTTGGATCAAAGACGCATCTAAAACCTGCAGGACACTGGCCCTCGAGGCCTTGAGTTCCCCACCTTCCCCTGCTTTACACAGTCTATAACACAGGTGTCAAACTCCAGTCCTCGAAGGCCAGTGTCCTGAAACTTTTGCACGTGTCCCTGTTGCAACACACCTGAATAAATGTAGTAGGTCATTAGAGTCTTGCTAATGACCAGTGAGACTCCAGTGAGAGCACACAGCACAGGACTACTCGAGTCTCCAACAATAAAAAGGCTTTAGCCCCAATTTCATCTCTTAACAGGCACATTTTCCAACAGAACAACAGGGAAAATCAGCAGTGGGCGTCACAATCACTGCATTTATCAAACCTGAAAGTGAAACTCTTAATATTAACTGCAGCATTAACTTTCTATGTTTCGACAAAAATCAGCAAACGCAAACTTATAAACGGAGAAAAATTCAAGCCGAAAAACCCCATTTATTAGAACCTGACAGACAAAGTGCAGCAGCCGAGTAAAATCATCTGTTTTAAACAGAACGGTTCACATCTTCCTCCGTTTAAGGAGATCTTTTATTGAGGAAAATGAAAAAACAAGCACACAAACTGTCCCGCAGTGACTTTAGAAAACATGACCAGCATCAGCAAAAAAAAACCCAACTCAAAATTAAAATCTAGAGATTTGAGTCCAGCTCTCGCAACAATGCAAAGACGCAACACACTTAGTAAGAAATAAGAAATCTAAAATGATTCCTGTCCACAAAGTACAGTCTTTGTGGATAAAAATAATGCATGCAATTCACATGTTCATTTACAGTTCAGTTCAGATTAGGAGGGGGATCACGCAGGCCCGCAGCCTACCGAAACCCTCACACCGTCTGTCGCGGCTGAATAAAAACAAGACGTGATCATCCAGCATTTACAGCAGCAGCAGAGAGAGAAACAGAAAGTTCACATCCTCGGTGTAGAGTCCCGGGACGCACAGGAGGAAGCAGGTCACAGAAATCAGAGTTGATGAAAAGGAGGCGGAGAGGAGGTCCGTTTAAGTCGAGGGAGGAGGAAGAAGAGGAGGAATGTGGATTTCAGGAGGAGCTGCACCGCCGTCTCTGCTCTAATGCAGGTTCCAGGAGCTGGCTACCGAGACGGGTTTTTATCAGGCTGCAGGAAGGAACCAGAAAGAAGAGAAAGAGAGAGAAGAGCAGAAATAAGGGCTCACTGACAGAGGAGGAGGAGGAGGAGGAGGAAGGAGCGAGGGACCCCAGAGAGGTCCAGATGTTCAGAAAACTCTACAAATGTTCAAGTTTGAGATTCAGGAAACTCCTACTGTACTGCAGTAACATGTGTGTCCAGAAGATGGCAGTATGCACACACAGATCACAGCCTTTTTACAGAATGGTGTTATTTGACATTTAAAGGGAAAGAAGGAAAGGTCTGAAACACTGCTGTTGACAGAACCTTTTATTTCCAATGCTGAATACAGTAATAAACTCCAACAGGTCAAAGGTTTTACAAAGAAAACTGGGAAAAGCATGCAAAAATGGACAAACGGGAGAAGGATAAACACCAAATCCCAAGATTCTGGGGGTTGGCATCAAAATCTGATAGTGTCGAATTTGAAAAACTCTTCAAAAATTCTGCACTCTCTGTCTGAAATTAAACGTCTGCTTTTTAAGCTCTTGTTAGTACTGAAGGGCGGACGGGCAGCAAAAACAGAAATAAAGTCAAAGAAAAACAGCGAGTGCAAGCACTACGTCACTGCGAGGCTGTCTGCCTTCTCTTAATGGGAAACTAGAACATAAGCAGTAATTATCATCACAGCGCTGTCAAACTATCACTTACTCCCATCTCCTCGTTTCCATAGCTTACAGTGAAAGAAGGGAGGCGGGACGAGGACGTGTGCGTTTGAGACACTTTTAATTACGCCGAAGCCGATAGATGAGGCCGAGGCACGGATTCTGTTTGCTGCTGTTGTGTAAAAACTTGGCAAAGCACCCAAAGGCGTTACCGGGAACCTTCTGGAAGCGTCTCCCTAACAAAGCGCAGCCAGGTACATTTGTCACGATTCATCAGTGTTGGCTCGTGTCCCATGAGAGAGAGCAAGAAGGAGGAAAGAAAATGACAAAAAAAACCCCAACAAAAAACAGCTTTTGCTTGGACGCGAGGCTGAGCTGATTCGGAGTAAATTCTGTGAAACGCTGGCTAACACCTACTCCAGAGCGTTTATTATCAGCTCTTCTAGCTGCAACGCTTCAGCGGCGGCAGTAAATACAATCAAGAAGTCTCATTTATCAGTGCAATCCACAATTCAAGCAACAAGTGAGCCATGTTCAGTCAGTTAGTCATCAGTGCCCTGCGTTCGAAAGACAAACAAACCTCCGCACAAGCAAAGAAGACGTTTACTGAGGCAGAGAGTGCAGCTGCATGCAAAGAAACAGTTGAATTCAACGGTGAAGCTTGCCCGTTCTGCACATCTGTGTTTCACTCCACCAAGAATCTGTTCTGGTACTCACTGTTTCTGCAGGAGGTTCTGCTGCTGCTGTCTGTATGACTCTATTGTGTGCTGCGGCAGGAACTGCATGAGTTCCAGCGACTCTTTGATTTTTACCAAAATCTCATAGATTTCGCGTCCTTTAATCTGAGGGGAACAGATAAGACGAGAGGTCAGTGAGCAGCTCAGACGCACCCCAAGCCGTGTGAGACAGCGGAGCCACACTTACAGGCAAACAAAAAACTTCCTCATCTGTGGATCTTCTCTTCTTGATGGCGGACATCTGTATGCCGTGGGAAACCTGTCGGAAGGCTGAAAAAGAGAAGAGGAGAGCGTGAATACAGCGGCCGCCGTGCTAAAGAGAACAAGTCGACCTAAGACAGAGCAGGAGGGGGAAGAAGCGAGGGAAAAGGCGGGTTAGTGAGAGTCCTCGACGCCAGCTGCATGTCGAGGAAGACCAAAAGCACGTCAGCCCGTCACCAGCCCCGGCCCTACTTACGGCGTTTCGTACCCTCACTGCTCTTTGTGGCGTCCGTTACGTGCTGCTTCCGGATGCTGTCCTCGTCGGCCTTGCGGTCGCGGCCCGGGCAGGCGCAGATCCTGGCTTCGAAGCAACGGCGCCCTAAAACCTGACCGCTGGGAGACAAAGACATCCTCTGTCAGAAACAAAGCACGGCCAACGAGGGGGGGCGACGGAGGTGGCGGCGGCACGGCTTACTCTCTGGTTTCCAGGGTGACGATGATGAGAATCGGGCGTCTGTTCATTCCGCCCACGCAGCTCGAGTTGCACATGAAATTGTACAGAATGGTGGTGAATTCGGTCCCCACCTGAGGAGGAGAATGAGACTGCAGGTGAGTGACGGCGGCAGGCGCAAAAACAGAGGTCGTATTTGGACATATTTCAGGTTCGGGTCATTTAAATTGGTTTAATTATGCAGAATCCAAATGTTTAACCAGTATTTGAAAAATGTGCGTCTTTGAAGCTTTCATGGCGGCACTGAAAGCTTTGACGGAGAGGTTGGCGAAGTGTCGAGCAGCTGAACATGACAGCGAACTCGCTGTCTGTCGCCATCCGAGTCGTTTGTCGCTTGGATACCCTGTAGGTTGATGGACAGCTCACCTGGGGAGGCTCATAAGGAACCAGGACGCTCTGTCTCCCAGTGATGGTGTCCTCCACGTACTGGGCGTGGCTGTTTCCCTCCACGCGGATCAGGTGGCTCGGCGGCGCTATCTGACCTGGAAGCAACGCGAGTCGTATGGTCAAACGCCAACAACAAACAAAGACGGCCGAAGTGAAACACGAGGCGGTGGGATTTCGACTGACCGTCGTTGAATTCGCGGCTGAGCTCGTGGTTCGGGCAGCGTTTCACCACCTCGGTCACGTGTTCAGCTTTTTTGTAAACAGGCATGGCTCTGATCACGGCACCCTGGGGAGGAGTGGTGAGGACTTTGATCTGAATGGGACATGTCTTGGCGATCTGGCAGTATAACTTCTTCAGTTCGGTCGAATACTGCAAAACAAAACGAGAGAAAACACAAAAGATTACAGAAAAGTTTTGATGGGGGATTGACTTAAATTTTAAAAGCACAGATTGATCACAGAAACACCCGAGACGTGATAGTAAATGGATAAAGTCAGGGGGGAAAGGCTTTTGGAAACCTTATTTTGGTGGAAACTCTCAGATTCCTGGTGACCAGTAAAATTTAATTAAACTAATTAGCTTAAAAATAAGTGCACAGCGGTGTTTGAAGGACTTTGGTAACACCTGCTGCCTCAGCTGTGCACTTCTGGCTCCCCTGAAGCAAAAAGGGTTAACTGAAGACTGTGATTATGACCCACTTAAATAAACACACACAGCACTCGGCCCTACAAGTGACTATTGGCCAACCTCAAAGATGTCTCACAGACAGCCTCTGGGACTTCCGAGGAACACCATAAAATGGACCCCTCCAGGGGCAATTAAACAGGGCTTGGCTTTCATCTCTGTTAAAGCATCTGATGGCCACTCATCACACAGAGCAGCTTCTGAAGCGCCTGGCAGGCTGGAGCTGCATTAGGCTGAGTGCAGGTGGATGACAACGACTCCGAGTGAAGGAGCGGAGGGCTAATCGCGGCAGTCGCAAAAGATTCATCAGCGACGAGCCAAAATGTGATGGTTGATCACACAAACTGGCTCAGGCTCAAGTGTGCAAGCCAGGAGTCTTGAATAATGGATGCACCTTGATCCTTGGCACTGTTAGAAGCGATAACCAGTAAAGGCATCAGAAAGACCGAGTTCTTACTAATAGGCACAACCCAACTGTGTACACAAGCCATTCAAATCACTGCTGTGCAAGCAGAGCTTTAAATCCTCTATGTGCACAGAGCTGAGGGTGGAGGGGCGGAGGGGAAATTTTCCTGTCAGTTTCATTCTGAGTGATGAAAAGTGAACATTGTGAAAACTGCTCGGGGCTGTGTTCGGGAACAATGCAACATAAAATTGCACCTCTATTAAGTTTGCTTCCAATGAAAAGAAGCTCATCCAGGAACCGTCTGTGCTCACTTTAAATATTACACAAGCTTGGCACGGACATTTTCTGCTCTTCTCCTCAGGCGCACCTCTCCTTTCATCAGGACAAACCTAAAAGTGCACCTCCCCGTCTCTGCCTTATGCCTGCGTTTCGCCCACTGATGCAGTCTGCTATTAAACGCAACTTTTCACATGTGCTGCTTTCCTCAAGTGACCCTCTTATAGTGACCCAACGCCAACGCTGCAGCGCTGATGCTCACTGCTGGGAAATACGAATGCAAAGCAGAAAATTTTAACAATAAAACTGCGTTTTGATTCGTGCACAAGGACACGATAGATTGACTGATGAGGGCAGTTTAAGCTCAACACGGCAACTGAACTGACTCTTCCTTAAATCAAAGCGGCTTTCTAGCAGCTTTTAAAAAAAAAATGCCTCCAAGATGAATGGCTGTAGTTGCCCCTCGCTCCTAACCTGATACTCCCCGTACGCCTCTGTCAGTCAGCTAAATGAGGTGGAGAAGCCAAGCAGAGAGATGGAGGAAGGGGGGCGAGGGTGTGGAAGAAGAGCAAAAGAGAAAAGAGAGAGGTGGTGTGTAAAGGGTCTGCACAAATCTGAGCCTAAAGATCTAATCGCGAATGTTAGGCCAGAAACACAAAGTTTGTTAGATGATATCCTACAGTTTCACACACACACACATGCACACACCACACACACACACACACGAGTGGCCCACCCCAGCCCTGAAAGCTACAAACTTTGAGTGCAAGCTCTGTGCTGCTGCTGTGTTTGCTCAGCAGTGAGAGCAGGGCTGCTGATTGCTGAAAGCAGCATGCGGTTTAAAGCCAACACTGTTCAGGGTGGAGGACAGCCAGTTGACTGATGGGGATTCAGTGGCTCACACAGGGTGCGGCGCTCAGGTGTTAACATGTAATTATGAGCCTTTCATTGGTCACAATGTGAATTACACGGCCGAGGAACACAAGGCGCACAATGCAGAGCCGCTTAATCACAATCATTTGAAAGAAAACTTTGCGAGTGTTTGCAGGAAAACACGTGATGCATTGTTCAGCTGGCACGGGGCAAAAGTAATAAATGACCTAAAGTGGCTGGACTTTTAAATTCTACGTGCACATCTGGAAAGCTCGGCTGGAAACCGTGCGGACACAGCACTGCAGCTTTCAAGCTACAACGAAAATGCGTCTCTGGGATAATCTGACTACGCGCAACATGCAATTTGTCCTGATACTCGGACATAGAAAGTAATTGCACACATGCAGCTAATGCACACAAACACACAGCACAGGAACACAGAGACACACACTTCCTGTGTTGCGCAGGTTGGGCAGGCCCACAGTTGTAGCGTTCCTTTCTACCTGACAGGCGCTGCGGGCGCATGCAGAAGTCAAGTCCTGACAAACATCAGGCCTTAAACAAGCAACGTTTGGCGCCTCTGGTCTTGTCTTCTTCATACCTGACATGTCATGTCATGCCTACAGCGTCTCCCAAACCTGTTTAATTCAACAATAATCCAAAGAGTTCTTTTCCTCCCTCGCTCTACTTTTCTCTGAAACTGAAGCAAAGCACCTGCTTCTTAAATCTAAAACAGGGGAAAAGTTGAACATTTTAGCGGACAATCTGCTCGGCCGAAGCTATCAGCACCAATCTCGACCACCCAATCTTAGGGATGACACCTGCCCCGGGCAAGCAGCATCACGTAGCCGGTGTTGAAAGAGTCAAACATGTATCTGTCCCTCTTGGGATTTGCCAATCAAATGTCTTCAGCAGAACAACTGTAACTTCAACTTTAAAACTGAAAGCACAGCAGGTGGGAAGAGGTTTAGGGGAAAAAAAAGCAATCGAGGATTTTCTCCTTTTCTTTTCAGATGGAGAGCAGCCAAAGTTTGCTAAACATGCTTAAATTATTTTCAAAAACTGTTTGATCTGCTTATCCTTGAAGGAAGCGTTTGAGCTGCCAGCACTTTTTTGTCGTTCCAACCTTCAATTATAACACAACAATGATTTCTGTGTTGAGAGCACTCCAACAAACTCAGTTTGGTGAGGTCTGATTTAAATTCCTCCTTTTCCCCTGATGACAGACTAATATCTGCCTTTTATATTTATACCGCCACAGCATGAGCCTGCTTTCTGTTGCTGTAAATCACTGCTGCAGGTACTCTGTCAGAAAGCGGAAAAAAAAGGAATCTTGTAACTTAAACTGTAAAAGAAAGGGCTTTTCCGAGAAGATTATGGAGAAATCCCATAGCCCATATCATAAAAACCTTTTCAACTCTGCCTTTTTAAAAATTTTCCCCTCCACCTTTTCCCATCTGTAGCTTTCAGGGTTTGTCTCTCTGCGACGGGCGAGTCGTGACAAGCTTCTTGACACAAACAAGTCTCAGCCCCATCTCGTGAGGCGTGGGACGGGCCCGCAGATGTTCCATGGGCAAGTTGCGTCTTGCCGCCTTTCGCTAGAACACTCTTCTCTTTGAGCATTCCTCCTCCTCCTCCGGCGCAATGTGAGATGCAACCATCAAGCTTAACTCTCTCAAAAAAAGACAGAGCCCACTCCAAGAGCACAGGGTTCAGGAAAGAGGCACACGGTATTTACACAAGTATTATCTACAGGCCCTCAATCCATTACTGTAATCCCCTGGGCTCAACAGCGTCCCAGTGATAGCCCGAACCATGACATTCCTCTCCTTTGCTAAATATGGTGGCAGTTAATACACACCGCAAACACAACTAGTCTTTACCCTGACAACAATGGCTGCCTCCTTTAGCGGCGCAAAGAAGATGAAACATCTCTAAACTTGTGTATTCATTTGACCCGGCGATTGTTTTTCTCTAACCGAGCGCTGGGGAGGGAACGCCGTGCAGGCTGCAGGAGTGCCGGCAGGAAAACCGTGTGGGAGCAGTTTCTGGGAAACACTGACGTGTTGCACCTTTTGCTGTGTGCCTCATCCTAGACAGGAAGAGGTTAAGGTGTGGGTTAGGGATTAGGTGTGTCTCCATCAGAACAGTCATCAAACAGTACAGTACACAGTCCACTAAGTCCCCGTGGAAGATCCCACAGGCCTTCAAAAAGGGGGCATTAGTGGATCTATGCACAGAGCAAAGCTGCAGTGACATCTACGGTGGCTCTCTGCCATCAGTCCATCAGTCCAGCAGTTGAGCTTATTGGGCTGAGATTATGGAGCTTTACGAAAGATCTCCTGAGATCAGGAGAGGGAGCCTCCTTTGAGATGGGAACCGACGCTGTAATCACTCTTCTTTAGAATCAGACTGGAAGCTGCAGCCAGCGAAAATGACTCTCTATGAGCCAATCTGGAAATCAACAAAACGATGTTCGGCGGGGAAACGCTGTAACGAATCCTCTCTGACAGGATCAACTGCATTTCAGAGTTGAGTGACATTTAACCTGGCTGCGAGGTACAAAAACAACAACGGAGCATGTGGAACCAGCCCGACCTCACAGAAAACATTACAAGCAATCAGTCACGTGCTGGTCATCATTTATTTGTGCATTATTGTTTTCAAGGCCAACTCCAGATGAGCGCTCTAAACAGGCTCTAAACTCTAAGCAGTGCAGTGCATCCACTTCCTGGCTCTTATTTATGTATGGTCAAAATCAAACTCCAATTAAAAACAGTCATTAAAAAGCAGTCTGTGTGTTTGTTTTCATGGACATAGATCGTAACAACAGGAAGTACGTGTCATGTCTGCAGTAAATAAAGGAACCAAGGAAACCTCCCCGCCTCTGTTACCACAGGGAAATAAATTGACATTTAAGTCAGACGTGTATTTTAACTTCTCAAATGGGCTCAGTTACTTGTTCCCAGTGCAATAGCTTTATATCAGCAGCACATTTGCAATCTCCACCAACACTGGTGGCCAGTTGAGGAGGATAATGATGGTGGTGCTTCAGCTCTGAAACAGGAACAGCTTAGAGTTTAGCTGTCACCGAGGGAAGTGAACAAGCTTGTTGTCGATTATGTGGTGC